GATATTGATAAAGACTACAGTAAAAACAATATATTTCCTGCTTTTTAAAGTCATTTTTAGTCTAATTTAATGAGCATACCTATATATTTATCAAAGCATATAATACTTTTTTAAAAGTAGTTGTATTTACTAATTCAGTATATATATATATATATATATATTGTTTCTATATTTACTAATATTTTCTATCAGTAGAAGTTATTATTTTGGCATTTGTTTATTACATATGCATGAATGTGCAGGGAAATCAAAGGAATTGGTAAAGCTTACAAACCTAGTGACCGGGTTTGGATACATGCTTTTCCAACAGATGGTGTAAATACAGTTGTTGCCTTAAGCTTTGATCCTTTTTTTACCAATTTTATTTAATTTGTAGCTTTACGTGTGGTTATCAGTATATTGTAACATACTGTTATTTTGTATTTATTTTATTGATAGATAACTTTTTTTTCCTTGTTAACTCAAAAGCAATTTGAAGTTATGGAGTAATTCTTTTAATGTTTAAGTGTTTTGCTCAGCTTTTTTATAGTTTGAAATATTACTTGTCCATATTTTGTGAAAGAAGAATGTTAATCTTGTAGGGTATTGCATGGTTAAATTACAACTTTACTGTTAAGTATTTATACAGTTTATTTCAAGCAAGCTACTTAACTTGTTTTTTTAAAACTTATTAGGTAAACTTACATGTGACATATGCCAAGCAGTGTTTGCTCATACATCAGGATTAAGCCGACATCGACGCTTCAAACACAGTTCAAGAAAGAGCTTGCATTGTCCGAGTTGTGGTCAGGTTTACCAGCGTACAGGAAGCCTTATTAACCACCGCAGAGTGGCTCATGGCCATGATATACCTGAATCTATACTTAGTCTGGCATATGGTCAAGAACTAGATGGAGAATAACTCAAGTTACATTATTTAACTTCTAGGGTGTGTTATAAATTCATACTACAGCAATTAAGCTTCTGATTGAAAACTGAAAATTGATGCTTCAAACTATGAAACTTGAGCTTCTCAAGTTAGATGGTAATTACTACAAAGTACTTTATCTTGTGATGTAGAAGTTGACAGCAGCTAATTCATAGTATGGTTCCTTAAACTAATCAAGAACTGAGGGATTGACTAATGAATACTATAACCCTTTAATTACTGATATAGAACAGGAAAATGATTAAAGCAAATTATGGCACTTTAACCTGTGGTGTAGAATAAAATGGTGATTAAACCAAGCTCAAACTATGAAATTTATTTTTTGATTTAGAACTTTAAACTCGTACTGAACTATGGCAGTTTCAGTTCTGTTCTACTAACCAAATTATACTACCTGTATGATGGATAATTTTAACCATCTGAATGGATAATAGTCAAAATTAAAATAATATTAAAAACCTTAACCCAAAAAAAACTATTTTTGACAGTACAAAAACATTAATCATAGTATGAAATGAAGAATGTTTTTTTACCAGTGCAAAATCAGTAATAGGGAAAAAAAAAAACTCAGAATTTTTTTGTCAGCACAAAGTTATTAAGCATAATAGGAAAGATCTTCGACTGGACAGAAATGTAATTGTAGTAAGAAACTAAAAATGAATTTTATACAGTTTAAAAACTACCCATAATGAGAAGTTAATATTGAATGAAAAAATAAGTATCCTTCTGGGGTATTTGAATTTAATATTGTTTTACCTTTAATTGCGTTTTGGACCAGTCCATTATGAATTTTAATTGCACAAAGGAATTTTATTTTAAAATTTGCATACTCTTTGGCCACATATCTATATAATTATGTAGTTCTTTGTAAATTTGTTTAAGATTAAATTTAGAGAGAGACATTAAAGAACATTTACATGTAATTTTAAATAAATTTATTTAAAAAAAAATAGAAAGATGGATTGTTTTAGCTATAATAGGAAGACACTTTCATTAAGGTGTTGTCATTCCATATTGAATTATGTTCCCTGTTAAACTTGTAATTAACATTCTTTGGTAATGTACAAATGTATTGAAAGGATGTGCATAGCACATGAATGTGTTAACAGACTAAGAAAATCTTGAAGTTGTGTTTTGCTCTATTGGTCACATGATGTTACAAATCTTAGTGTTATATGCAAAATATGTAAAGTATCTAATTTATGTATAGGTCTTAAAATCACCACTTATTTTAGCACTTTTGCTAGTTATGAAAGTAGATGTATTTATACACCTTCCTTGCATATGTGCCAAAATTATTTACTTTGTGTATTTTTTATAGATTTGAGAACAATAAATATGCACAGTGACAGATGATTGTTTTGTGTTATGTAGTATATTACTAAAAAAATTCAGTCCCCACTGATTTAATCTTTGAATATCATTTAGGGTTTATGGAATCAGTAATTGCTGTAGACAGATGTTTAAGATTCAAGATGATACAAGGAAATGATTTCTTAGATCTTCAAAATGAATTATTGGATTGGATTCAACACTGATGGTTTGACTCAGTGTAGCCTCTGTACTCATACTCTAGACCAGTGGTGTGCAAACCTTTTTATGGCATTCTACCCTTCTAAACATTCATTTTATTGTCCCCACCCTCTCCTAAGCTGGTTTTATGAAATGCTAAACCAGATAAACTTGAACAAAATTTAACTAAGCTGTACACTATCACAAATCTCAAATAAATTATTAACAATTTTGGAACACGTCCATTCTAGACAATGCCAAGGAAAATAATGAAATTAATTCTAGCACACGTGCTTTGGGGTAGCTACTTCACAAGGATGTTGTGTTGCCTTCTTATCAATGGAGGGCTATTGTCTCATGATGATGACATCATGTACAAGTGCAGTTTACGTTAAACATGTGTTTTTTAGGTGGGAGGTAGCTCAAGGCTAGCAGTGTGAAATTCTCATAGGCAGATGCATGAAGAAATCAAGCTGTTCTGTGTGAAGAGGTAAAGAATTGTCTTGGAAATGGCATGTAAAGTATATACACAAATAGGTTATAAGAGGTGAAAAACAAACACTTGATGATTTCCCACCATTATGGATTCTCAAGTGAAGGTAACTTTCACTTTGTCCATCTTGTGATAGTGACAATGCTACTTACGTGGAGCCTGTAGCTACGGGGGTTCGTTGTTTGTGAAGGACATAACAGCCATTGTTCAACATGATGTAGGTTCCTTTATGCTTGCTGAGTCTCCTCGTCCATTCCATTTGACCAACGTTCTTTCTCACTAATTTGATCCTGATCAGAATGATTATTTTGACTGATATTTTCCCCCACCAGTGTTTGCTCTAGGCATAGATTTATTTGTGGAGGAAAATCCTTACCCTTCTAACCTCTTCCTTGGCATGATTTTACAAGTATGTTCTTTCTCTCTTAATTCCTCCTGTGCTTTACTACATAAAACCCATACTCCAGATTACACTGTCTTCCCTCCTTCACCTGACATTTGGGTTCATGCAACCTCGTGTCTCAAACAACTGCTCTCCTGTACTAACATGAATTGTCCTTCTTGTCTACTTGACTCTTTTGTCCTAGTCTACAGCAGTTCTTCATTTCTATTCCTTGATTTCCAGTCTTTAGAATCTCTTTTATCTGCTTGGGGCTGGGCCCATTAATTTCTACTTTCCTTTCTAGTGCCCAATTTTCATGCATTTCTTATGACCCTTCTGCATTACCACTTGTCACTTCACCTTATTTTGGAGGTATTTCTTTCTTTCCTTTTCACAGAATTAGTCTGTACTTCTTCTGCTCAATCCCTCCTTAGTTGGTTCCCCTGTTGCTTATTGGGATGTGATGCTCCCCTAGCTAATGTATATCTCCCTCAAGCTTATTTCTGTGATCTTCGTCAGGTTCCATTTCTTTGCCTAGAAGTCCTCAAGAGTGTTCCTGACTCACTAGACCTGAGACAAGATGGCCCGGCATCAGTCTTCATTGTCTACCTTGGTTTCTTGACTTTTTAATCTTGCCCTTTTCTTGCTGTTCCTAGGCCTGTTGTATCCTACCCCTTCCCATTCCAGCATCCTGACTTTCTTCCCAATGTCAAGGTCGTCACTTGTCTGATCAGTGGATACCCTGTCAGGTCTGGCCATGTGGAGTTCCATCTGTCTCTCTTCACCAGCCTTTGGTCTCCATTTTTGACCAACAGAGTTCTTCAGGCTCTCACCCATGGCCTATATCTTCACTTCTCAACCTCTCCTTCCCCTTTTCCAGTTTATTTTTCTCCTCCTTCTAATCCCATTTATCTTCAGCATCTTGAGGATGCAGTTTCAAATCTCTTGGTCAATAATGCCATTAAGAGAGTACCCCTACTCCAGGTTAATACTCTGGTCTCTTTGTGGTCAGGTTATCAACTTTTCATTTCTCAACCAGTTTCTTGTGTGAAAGGGTAGGACACCATGTAGGCTATTTGTTTTGAGTTTGACTTAATAACTGAACTTTTAGCCCAAAACATGAGTTCTTATACCAAGTCTATTGGTATCCTTATTATTCTCCAAATAGTGTACACAACTAACTCACAAAGTAGATCTGTCACTCAATTGGATAATTTTTGCAGACTTATCATAATTCTCGGAACTAAAAGCAAAACTATTTCAATAATTGTCATAGTCAAAGATGGTAATTCAGCAGCTTGTTTGCATGTACCTCTCCTTGTCTTCTTTACATCAAAGTTCCACCCAGAGCCTTTGACTTTCTCACTAATTCCTTTTCTGGAATTCATGTCCAGTCTCTAATGAAGCTAATGTAAACATATTCATAGCTTTCTCTCTGCTATGATAGCATTGGTTTATGGATAATATAAACATCTATTTCTCAATACCGATTACAATGTATCTTTGGTTTATACTTCAAATACTTTAACTTTCTTGGTCAAGCATCAGTATATAACCTCTCTTATGCATTCACAAAGTGTGCACAATATTTCTTCTCATTGCATATGTGTGTGTGCCACACATGGAGTTTTTTGTGAGATGTATATTTTGCTCAATTCTTGAAGCATTTGGAACATCATGAAATGTTACAAATACTTCATTCCTCTCTCCTTAAGGAAATTTTTATCTTTGAGAAAAATGTCACCATCTAACCTCTTTGTTCCTACTTCTCTCATATATCGAGTAATGCTTACAATAACCTGTCTACATATTTTCATTGCAATTATATGATATCTTAACCACAACTTAGAGTGGTTTCTCCACCCTCAGGTTTGTCATTTGGTTTGGTCTAGGTTGGGCATGCCTCTCATTGATGCCTTTGCCACTCCTCTCAATACCATCTTCTGGTCCTCAGTTCCTCATCCTTCAGCCCAGGTAGTCAGTGCTTTCAACCACGACTGGTATTACCTTTTTCTGTATGTCTACCATCCTCCTCACTTTCTCCCTCACATCCCCACTTTGATATATAACACTACTTGTCGGGTCGTGTTGGTGGCACCTATTTCACTGGCACAACCTTTGTTTCTACTGCTCTGCCAATTGGTATTTGGGACCCCTCTTTGTCTGCCCCATTTCCACTCTCATTCCAACCATACATTTCTCTTCTGCCTAAAAGTGTCTTTTCTTGATCTTCAAGTGTGGGATTTGTCTCCTCTTTTGCCTGCAGGGTTGGCCTCTCTTTTCTTATCCATTTCTGTCATCCTTCAACTGCCCATTTATCAATGGAATTGGTGGATTTTTTACCTTAGTCTATCTGCTACTCTTTCCTCTGGTGGCCTACCTTTTGGCCTTTTCACATAGTTGTTTGACCATGGATTGTCAGCTTCCCCCTTGGGTAGCTTTATCAACCACATTTTGCTTTTCCTGTTGCCACCAGTTTTTTCTTCCCTTTTCCTCTCCACTTTGTTCAGATCCTTCCTTCTTCAACAACTCCCTTGTCCTATTCCCATGTCTGATGGGACATTAATGTAGTTTTACACGCTTTTATGTATGCCCTGTTCAAGTCATTGACTTCATTTTCCTTATACCACCTTTCTCTGAAGACATACTTTCTTCTTCTTGCCTGTGATTGTCATCATTTGGACGGAGATGCCATCGATGCTTCCCACAATCTCTCTCACCATACTTCTATACCTGAACTGGGCCTTTCTTCATAGAACTTCCTGTCTCTCTCCTTTTGATTTCTCATCTCTATGCTCATTCGAACCCAGGCCAATAGTTGTGTCCAGTTCTGGCTGTTTGGTGTTACTTAGCACATGTCTCTCCTTTTAGGAGTTCCTGACACTTTGCTTCTACCTTGGGACCCCTCTTCATAGAGGGACCTCTTGCCTTTTGCCCTTAGAGTGTGGATCTGCCAAGTCTTCTGGTTACTGTATTCTTCCTCGGATATTGATGTTCACAAACCTTTTCATATTTTGTCACTTGTCTCACTCTGTTGTATCTCACTTCAACCAACTATTAGGCAATATCTTTCATGTAAGCAACTACACACTCATTAATTTTCCTTTACCTTCATCATCTAGCTGTTTTGTGTCATGCAGGATTTCAATTCCCTCTGGTCACTGTTCTTCAAAATGCACACTGCCTTTCAGAAAGGCAAGTACATTTTCTTCATAACCCTATTCCCTTTTACAGTATCCCACCAGAACAGGTTCATCACCCTGTCCCAGTCTGTCCAGTTGAGTTGAGATGATACACACACCATAGGGTCTGAATGTACCCTAAGTACACTATACTTCTTGACTGCTTGGCTGGTCATGTTATAATTCTGCCCATCCCTGCGACACTTAGGGCCCTTTTGCCTTTCTTTCCTGGCGAAGAGTATTCCCTGGCTGAGACAAGATGCAGTCTCCCTATGGAGCCTTTGTCATGGGGTGTCACATTTGGTGATTTCTGAAGGGAGCTCATTTAGGTTTAATATTTGCACCAGTTCCTCCAACATTTCAATGTGGGATTGTAGCTGTTCTTTGCATAAAGTGAGGTATCATCTTGGAAGTTAACATTTTCCTTACCTTTTAATGTATTTCTGATAGATACCTTCCCATTTCTGGTGCACTTTTATTTTTCATGCCTTATCTAAGAATAAGTTAATTCTAGTGCAAGTGCTTATGGAAAGCTACTGTGCAAGGAGGTTGTATCATCCTTCTATTGGTGTAGGGCTAATATCACAAGATGATTACATCATGCATTAGCACACATCATGTGTTTTTAGCTGTTCTGGGTGTGGAGGTATCTATTGTAAGTGCATTCTTAGGTAAAGAAAATGTTAACTTTCTCATGTTAATTGTTGTTACTAGATTAGTTAGTAATTGTGATATTTATATGGTAGTTTTTAAAACTTTTTATTTTTAAATTTGTACTTT